AGTCCTGAAAGAAGATAGATAAATGAGCAAGCTCAGACCTAACAGTAGGGGAATGTGAACCATCACCTGGCACGGCTAGGGGCATCACTAACCCCCCACTCTCCCACCTGCTGAATAGCTCCTCAGCCATCAGGGCTAGAAAAAACTCCCTACATTCTAGGGGTAGCTGATGAATGTTGTATGCTGTAAGGTGAAGAGGCGCGGAAGACTAGTTGAACAGAAGGCATTTCTACTGATTAGATCTATGTGCCGTCTAGACAAGCTCTAGAACTGGGTACCATCTTTCTTCTGGTTCTGTTGGGCGTTGACTATTCGTTAGTCAATGCTAAGAAGGAGAAATATATAGCACATATATGCTGGGCCACTAGACATGTACTTCATACTGCTAGACCTGTAGATGAGGGGGAAGAAAAGTGCAATTTGCCCACCAGCACAAGGCCTCCAGGGAACCCTGAGTCTCTTCTACCAGAGTCGTGGACTGGAGGGTTACGTTACTGCTGCTTTATTCAAGGACCTAAGATGAATCCAAACGCTTTACCTGGTAGACAAGAAGTATCAGTAAGTCATCTGTCTCCTATTGGAGCAAGTACCATAGTCACCAGTGAAAGGGGCAAGTCCTGCTTTTCCTTGTGTGTCTCTTTTATTTGAGAGGGACTGCCTGAACTCTCGTATCGGGCTCCTGGTAAGATGTTGAGAAATGTTGAAAGGGGCAAAGTCGGAAATACAAGTGAGATTGTCAAATTCATGACATTCTTAAAATCTCGGCTTCTTAGGCTTCGTAGAGATCGGTGCCAGAAGTCTAAGATAGCAATAGATGTTTTACAGTACTCGTAGTCCTGATGGACCGACAATCAACAGCAGGGAAATAACAAAAAGGACAGTTCTGACACCTAAACATAACTCCAATACACTAGCCCTTTAAAGAAAGAGACCACATCAAAGCCAAGTTCACATGAGGGCCAGATGCAGTCAAAACCAACCTTGTTTCAATGATTTTGCAGATCCTGACATCAAAGATGATGGTCTGTGGCTGATTTGGCACCAGTTCAGTAGAAGCCGATGCTGCCGGCCCTGTGGAATGCCTCTGATGCCAAAGCAGCCCAAGCCGCTATGCAGGTCCCTGGCAGCCAAGTCACTGGTTACTGAGCTACCCTCAAATGTGTCGGGAACCGCTCTGGGTTCAGTGTCACGAGAGCAGCACAGACTAAGTGTGCTGCATTTCAGAAGAGTTTCATGTTAACAGGCTTTTGAACTTTCTGCTGTTTTTTTTCACCAAAATCCAGCTTTACTGACAACAGTGACAACACACCTTATGGCTTACAGGAGCCAACTAATTCTGGACAGCCTACGATATCTCAAATCCTGGGTTTATCAACTTCATCCATTCAAGCTGTGTTAGTAGGCGCTACTCTCAGCAATGGGCTTGTGTGATATTTAACTGACTGATTTTCTGGTGCCTGTTTTTCATAAGCTGCACTAAAATCTCACTGTTGGCTCTGCCTAAAGGAGAGCTCTTTTAAAGTCAAAGACTCAATGTTTCTATTGTTTTCAGACTGTCATCTCATAAGAAGGTCACATTGCAAAATCTTCCCTGAAACAAATGTTTTTTTAATTATTTCATACATTGTCAGCTGTAAAGTTGAGAATAATATAGTACAAACATTTAGATCTACAACAGATCAGAACAGCATCTGCTAGTCTTCCTTTGAGAACTAAACTGACCTAAATTAGAGCACTACTAACCTTTATAGCATCGGTCATACTCTACTCATTCACTTGTGTACAGTCGTCAGGCTATTATTTTACAAAATCCTGATGCTTTAGCTTGACTGTATCCTCAGCATGGTACGGTAATACTACCCTCCCTGGCTAGTCTGCCCCAAATGCCCCTTTCCATGGTGTCTTGCCTGTCCCATCAACAGGGACATGCAAAAGATACTCAAAATAGATCTGACTCATTTAAGTGCAAGTCACAGTACAGAAGCTACAGCATAGACCAAATAAGACTGAAAGCTTTTCATGCACAAAGTTATAGTGCAACAGCCACTTTGAGGTACAGCTCACAACTGCCCAGGAAAGTAAAAATATTTTGCTTGCAGGCAAATACTAATCTTACTTGGGTGGAAAAAAAAAATATCTGCATCCTGTGCTAGAACTGAAGTTGGAAGAAGTTGCTTAAATTCCAAGCTCAGAGTGACCTCAATTTTCGTGGACAGGAAGTTTTAGAAAAACAGTAGCTTTGGTGGTGGATACCAGAACCATGAGAAAAAAAAGCCTGGGTATTCTTTGGGAGACTGGCTGCAGTTTACCACTTCTCTAGAGAGCATCACATCTCACCTCAGTGATCAGAGACTAGAGCCACTGCCAAAAGGGCCTGCGGTCTCATCATGCAAAAAAAACCCAGCAACCCCAGCAGAGGACCCTGAGACAGCCTGAAGATCTAGGGCCTGCGGTCTCATCATGCAGAGAGCATCACATCTCACCTCAGTGATCAGAGACTAGAGCCACTGCCAAAAGGGCCTGCGGTCTCATCATGCAAAAAAACCCAGCAACCCCAGCAGAGGACCCTGAGACAGCCTGAAGATCTTGGACCTGTATCACCCTCCTTGCCACAGCCAAACACAGAAGCTAAAGCTTAGCCTGGGCCAGTTCCTTTGGCCCTCGAGGAATGAAACATGAAGTAAGACTGGACGGGGCCTGGACAAAGCTTTCACTACATGAAGGACCCCTCCTAGACGGGTGTCTCCGAGCATGTGGTTGCAGAGATTAGATTCACTGGTGCTGGACACTGACTCACGTTCCTCATCCCAAGACCTACACTGCCAGACTACTCAGTGTGAAACACCCTTCCGGTTCCAAATGACCCACCAGTGCATTGCAAAACCTTTCCAGTTCTTGACGATAAGACAGTTGGTCCTGCCACCAGTTCATGGTGAAGCTCCACTGCGGAAGAGGCCAATGCATTTCTCTTACACAGCCAGCTCACCCCTACTTTCAGGCAGCTTGATTCTTCAAGCAATAAGGATGCAATCCATCAATTCACATCCATCCAGGCGTGAGCAGCACCTGTGATTAGACATTCACAACCATCGTTGTCAGGTACTCAACCTGACAAGTGTGACACAATGACACGTACAATCTTTGCCCATCCTTAAGGATCTTCCTTCAGATAAACTGCATTTGTCAGGAGCACTGCTTTAAGTTTCTCAGTGTAAATGTTCTTCGAAACAAAAAAAGAGAAAAACTGGTTTCTTACCAGTAAGTGGTGCTCATTCTTCTTCCTTAGACCCCTGTCCAGAAAGCCTAGGGCGGAGAGAAGCTGAAGGTGTTGGGCAGGCAGCATGTAATTATTGCCACATACACAGTAGCGAGATGGGCAAGTCTTGAGCAGGTATTCTTACACACGTACATTTTTAAAGATTTCCAATGATAAAGGCGTCAAATACATCGTTCGCTCGTGGTGTTCTACCCCAGCCCTATCAATGCTCTGCCAAGTTAATTTTCACCAATTCACCTAACCATTGTAGCAGCTTTTCTTTGTAGCCATTTCAATTTCTTTGCTTTACAGCTACAGGCATCTATCTCTAAGTGTTCTGGATGACTAATACCTTTTTAAAGTTAAGATTTCCTGATACCTCTTGAAAATATCTCACTTGATCTCACTTCAGATTCTTCCTTCATAGGTGCGTTAGTAGCACAGAATTACTATTTGATCAATTGGCACACACAGATCATAGTACAGCTTCTGAATATGTTTCGTTTCCAATGCAGTTAACCTGTGAAGTTCTCTGTGAAACAAAATTTAGATGCATTATTTTGTGTCTAGTATAGTAAAGTTTCCATAATATCATTATTTCTACCAACTAAGATTAATTTTTTATATATAACAAAAAAAAAAAAATCAAAAAGTTCCCCTTGGTAAGGAACACATATGGAAGACTTATCTTCCCTAAATACTTCTCCCTTAAAGTTTTATGGGAATGGGATAAAATTTTGTGAAATGCTGATCTGTCAGAAGCAACACAATTGGCAAACAGTTACTGGGGAAAAGCAATAGTGTAAATGGCAGAAAGTTAACAGAGATTTTCAGCCACCAAGCTCCGATTTTGAGTTCAGATACATGGTCCTCTGATTTTTCACTTTAATTTTGAATTAAAGCTCAAAAACTTATTAGAATCCTGGTATTAAATCAGAAGTTGAGTGGTAAATAAGTCTTTAAAAAAATCCAAGTCCTTAATGTTTCTTGCAAAAGACTACGATCACTGCTCTCATTTACTGATATAATGTACAGCCCATTAAGTACCCTTTTTCCCAGCATGTTAAGCTTTGTATAACTTTTCCAAAATTATGAAAAACAAAACAGCAAGTAATGAGTAATAACCCTTATGACCTATTCCTCAAATATAAAATCAAACAATATTGAATCCAGGGTATACAACGCCCCCCAAATATGAGAACTCTTAGCCCAATAACGTTAGCTTTTAAGTCCTATTCTGTACTTAAAAACTGGTCATGAAGTATATGGTTATATATCTTAATTAGAGGCCTTCAATGTTCTTAACCATTTCAACTTTACCAAATAACAGCACTACCAAATATCACTGTGTGTTAGTCTGCAGAGTTGGTAAAAAAGGCGTTATATTGTAGGTGCATATAAATGCACGTGGAAGTTACGATTAGAAATACTGCTGATTTCCAAATACTGTTAGAATGAATAGACATTTCACGTAGCAGCAGACATGCTCGCAGGCATACTGTCTTCTATTTATAGCTGCAAGAAAGGAAGAAATATCTTGAGTGCAGCGTTCCATTACTCTCGTCCTTGCTTAACAGTTTCAGATCAATTCTCATTTTCAAAACGACATTTAAAATTCTTTATATTCTGTATATTCATTAGCTGTAAACCTACCGGTTCTCGTATGCAATTATCAGTGTGGCTTTTCCTGAAGGAAATTGTTGTTACACATCTGCATAAGCAGCTCTCCAACACACAAAATAGGTAGGTAGGATGGTATAAGATTTATTGATATTTTCTTTTACTAAGGCACATGACGTACAGAAATACTGAGGTACAAAAATGCGGTTTCCCACATATGAGATTTAAAATCCCATTTTGACAAAGATGAGCTAAATCTCTTCTGCTCAGAACGTTCAGCTTTTAGCCATTTTTTTCTTTTGTACCAGTTCAACAAGCAACTTGTATCTTGCTATACACTCCTCCTAAAAGGAAAAACAAAAGTGTTAATTAAAGTTTGATATTTTAGTATTGCTTTAACTCTACACATGCTACCTCATTCCAGAAGAAGAGCTAGGTTCTGGGGGTTGTGTGGGGTTCTTTGGGGTTCCCCCCCCCCCAGTTTACGTTTCTTAATGGATAACTCCTCTCTTTAAAGAGGACACAAACCCAAGAAAACAGTTAGCCAGTATTTCTTGACGATGACTGTCAAAGCAGTTATTAAACAGTTGTATTGTAATACCTATTTCAGAACAGTTACTCTGGTATGAGCCACACTGCAGATAGGTGACCCTGTTAAAGACAAGCCTTTGCAGTCACTAACATAGCACCTACTGACACCAGATACTGTCCAACAGCTTCAAAGCCGGAGAAACACTCAAATCCCCCACCCGCGTTTCCTCCCCTCTCACACTATTTTGGCACAAATAAAATTAGGATTTCCTGCAGCTACAGTGACTGAAGCAAGCACACTAATCTATCAATCACAACTATTACAGAATCTAACACAGACCAACTGTATCAATGACAACGAACACTATTTTAAAAAGATTATACTTACAAAAAGAACATTAGATAGGTTATTGAGCAGTTAACACTTGCAGATGGATTACCTATTTTGTTTGTTTATTGAGATGGGTTGAGAAAGGTATTGTAACAGTGTAAGCAAAGCAGCTCACCAACATTTGGTTACTAATAAACTTCGAATCAAAATTTGTTTTAAAATCTAATCTGTCCTGCAATTGAAGATCTGAAAGGCAGAGGAGGGGTAGGTGTTTTAAATGAAACGGGGGATATTTCAACATTTTCTGTAATAAATCAAACAAACAATTAAATGAAAATGTATTTTAAATAAAAGCAACAAACATGACAGTAATGCTCTTTAGGTCGATTATGCCTGGACTGATAGGCTAAGTAAAGACCTCACCTTTCTGCACGGACCCTCAGTTCTTAAGGCAATCATAAACTGGTAGAAAATATGTTTCCCCTCAATTTATACTATAGTTCAAACAAAACTAAGCATACCTTGCTTTTTCCAGGAACACATTTTGCTATTTTATCCCAGCGATCCGATGTTCCCTTTGGATACTGCTGCAAGGCCATTTCAAGAAGTTTCTGTTGATTTTGAGTCCACAGTTCTTCTGGGGCATGGCTTTTCTCCCTTTTTCTGCCTTCATCATCACTCTCTTCCTCTTGCTCGGTGTTATCAAAATCTTTCTGGCGTCTTCCTCTGCCCTTCTCTTCTAGCACCTCTCTTGTTGCTGGTAGAGTCATTTCAGGCACTTTGAGAATTTTTCGTTTGCGGTGTCTAGTTTCACTTGCAATGGTCTCCTTTTGATCTATTTGGACATCCCTCTGCTCTGGGATATGATTGTAGTTCCCCTCCTCCTCCTCTTCCTCTTCCTCCTCCCTTTCTCGCCGGGTGATTATGTGGTCTGGCAAATTCACATTGACTTTGACGTTCTTGGAATTCTGGGCCAGCGTTTTAAGCTCGGAGAGCCTAATGATGCCTGTTAGAAGTATTGTTGTTACACTTCTAAAAAAATAAAACAAACCACAAACAAGCAGGGAACTGCCTGCAAATAAAAGGTACCCGGAATAGTGCAGAGAGGAGAAAAAGCTCTTCTGGATTAAGACCTTAAGGAAAATGCTTGTCAAGAAATCAGGGTATTTGTTATGAAGCAATGAACTTTGCCAATTATGAGCTTATCTGGTATATGTGAAGTACTAGCAAATTACCACACTGATATAAACAACAGAACGGCGTGAACAAATGAACAAACCCCACAATAAACTAAGAAAGCCTGGGAGGATGTAGCTACAGGGAAACATTCCCTCAGAAACACCATCAGTTCTTCTCTTTGCTCAAAGTAAGGCAAGGTTGCAAAAGTCTCTCTGCAAAGCATACCCTGAAAGGTACAAAAAGCACTGTATTTGCATAGCTATAATCCAAATGCAGTGCTTTTTATAAGCATCAGGGAGGGTCTAGTAGCACACACCTGGTGTATACATGACAGAATCCTTCAGTTGTTTGGCTTTCATCGTAACCTGCATGAAAACAACAACAAGAAAAGGACTATTAAAAAATTACATTATTGGAGCTCTTGAAGAATTCATTAGCAACTTACTGCAAAATACCACCACTGAACATATATTAAATACAGCGAGGCTGATGTTCTTCTGCTGGCTTTGTTCATATATGGATCCCAAACTGGCACAAAGTAACTTTCTAAAAACTTTGTCCTTTCTAGAACATTCCTAGCTTATTAAAATAGTGTAAGCAATGCTACACATTTCTATTACTATCACCATAATACATCACAGTTGATATTCAAATTTTATTTTATTTGTTAAACCCTAATTCTCTACCCTAAAAATATCACAGGGAGAGGGGGAAAAAGAAAACAAATGAGTTATCTTCTAGGTATTAGTTTCTCAATAGTGAACAAAAGAACAAAATAACCCACGTAGGTCCAGATGATGAAGCACGCTAATGGACAGGCATTCAGTTCCAAAATAAAATGTAACAGTTTGCCAAAGATCAGCAAAGACACCTCCTAAGTCCTGATATTTCAGGAAAAAAGTTTATTACATGAGAACCCAAAGGATGGAGAGCTGCCTGCTTCAACCTCTCCATGTATACCGAAATCTGTGTCCTGGGAGAAAAGTAACACCAGATGTAGCATTTTCATTTTTACTTAATTAAGGAAACAAACAGGCTTTCTCCCCACTCAGAAGCTCCACAGGAGCTTCCCCATCCCAAATTTCTAGGCCTCACTATAGGTAACAAAGACGACAGGCTTTGTTAAGATCCTTTTAATCACTTAGCATCCGTGTTATATCAAATGATCTAGAGTCCAAAATACAAGCACCACGTAAAAGCATTTTAAAATGTAGTACTCAAAGAAATACACAGACTTTTACATTACTGAAAATGTTTTATGAATACCAGATTTCAATTTCAGTTTTTTTGAATATCAGGTCTTTGTGAAAAAGCTAGAAATTGAAATCAAGTAGTCGGAGCACCCAGATCAAATAAAACTTACAAGGTAAACAGGCAACGCACTGAACCAGAACCGATACCACCTGGGATGGCTAACCTGTGTTTCCTGCTGTTTGAGCCTGCCACTTCAGATGTTAACATCCATTTAGCGTAAGGCACTCGGCAGTGTGCTGCCCAGAGCAAAAATAAAAAATACATCACCTACCAAGTCAGAAATTCCTCCACATGGGATTGTATTTACCCACAATATGAATCATTTAGACCTTCAGAGCCACAGCATAGACCTCTGCTGTTTAACTAATGTTAACAATAACAGACTAGTATCCTCTACGTAGAGCAGCACTAGAGAGCAAACCTGCCAGGGGGTTGTACAGCTATTTTCTGGAAGAAGAAGAAAATAGAAAGATTCAGGATTTATGAATCCTGTAATGGAACAAAAGTAAGTACTTCAATAGTTAAAATACTTTGGTACCGTCTGCTTCTAGTCTAGTCTGTTTGGTTCCTCCCACCCACATTTCTGCCTCTGAAATCACAAGACTTTGCTTTAAAAACAGGCAAGTGCTGGATCTCCTTCATAAAATGACAGCAAGGCTTAACAAGGCAGTGGTCTATTTTCCCTACAAATTAAACCTCATTTTCCAGGATGATTAAGTTTAAATGATAACTCCATGAACAAAAAATCCCAACTCTAATTAACCAAAACCTTTATCCAGAGGTAGACATCTGGCATAGAAAGCTCCAGTTTCCACTGTTGCAGTATGATAAAGTTTTAATTGTTCAAAGAGAAAAATCCCAGAATACTACAATGAACAGATAATTTTAATTAGCACTAACAGTTCTGCCTGTGATCTGCATGATCCTGATTTTGAAACAACAGGACGGATCCTCCTTGAAACAGGTGATCCACTAATAGAAATTGCCTTCCTTGAAGAGTTTATAGTCTACAATAATCCAAATTAAAATGTTCGTGTTCCGTTTTCATTCTTAGCAGAGTATCTCTATAGGGCCAATGCTTTAAAAGGCTGAGTGGAGGGGAATGCATTCTTGACTGCTGAACAGAATGGATCCTTAGTGGCATCCTGCTGTGCATCTCTTAAATAGAAATTATGTTATATAAACTGGATTATAATAGATTATTTTGAAAAGAGTGAGAAGAACTTGTCATGCAAATGAGTAGCTGATCCTTTGGAGCTTACTGCAATGATGCAGTGGATTCATTGTGAATATTACAAGGCATTATCTATCTATGTTCATGTATTCCAGAAAACTGCTTCTAAACCATTTTGCTATTTTTTAAGCACTTCTTTCAAAGATTTACAGCCTACTCCTAAGGCCAAGAGAGGAAAAAGAGAGAAGAGATTCCCTGAACCAAATAGAGCAGAGTAAGTTGCAAGCAATGACAAAGACAGGTATACCGAGTTGCTACCCCAATACCAATGTTCGGTTTTCTCTACGTTGAACCTCTGACATTTTTGGAGGTTGGCAATTACTGTTTTATCTTTCAAACCGAGCCTACACATGCAACATAAACTTTGCATTGGAAGTGGTGCAAATCAATATGCTGGATTCAGGTTTCCTTTACAAGACAGATGTTCCAAATTAGGTTAGTGTAGGTATCCCATAATAGATATAAATTTTGCTGCATGTTACATCTAATTGAATTAGAATCTAAACCAGCCCTCTCCACTAGAACAGTGAAGGATTTTGGCTTATTTCTAGATCCTAATGGCATTTCGCATTTCCCCCCTACATGCAAAAAGGTTAGAAGTAACAGTTTTGCCTTAGGTTTTCTTTTTTTGGATAACTTCAGCCATAATAACTTGATGAACCCAGATGTAGCATTTGTAGTAAGTTACTCCATTTAGTACATCAAATATTTCCAAGACTTTCTCTTTTGAAGGCAGCATGATATCTGCCCATATTTTGATGGACTTTCAATTTGAACATTCACCAGCTAAGCTGGAAATAACAACTGTGTGTATGGTTTAGATACTGAAAATCTACAATTTCAAACACTGAAGAAGCACCTTCAGTTGACATAAGTTTGACAACTCATCAAGCTTCTTACTCACAGCTTTACTATCATCATTCACAAGTTACATGAGAAGATTATTTGTCTATTATTCTCTTTTTTTCCCTTTTGTTTTGGTCAGCTTTCTTATTCATATGGATGATTTTGCAAGTCCTTTTCCAGGTGCTATGTAAAGTTCCTGTTTACTCCAGCTCTTTTCACTTACGAGTTCAGGTATTGCTTATTTAGACTTATTTGTCCATCAGCTTCAACTGTCATTGCCGTTAAAGATGCTGACACAGGGCAAGAATCACAACATGTCAGTATTTAACTACTAAGGATTATTATTATTAGGAATCCAACCTATGGAACATATGAAATTGTATTTCAGTTTGATCTCTTTGAGTTTAATCATTGCTCTTGCCACTCAAATTTGCAGTCTCTTCTGGTGCCAGTTCCTCCATACTTTCTGACATCCTTAATATCAATTTAAATTGGTGAGTAGTGTTATCTACTAGCTAGTTCTTAACAGTGATTTAAAAAAAAATCACTAAGTTACACAATGTAAGTTGCTCCATTGCTTTCTCTACTCAATTTCTTATCATAACTTGCTTATATTATTACTCTTTCATTAGGTAACAGATAACATACTTGGAAATACTGTTATTCAAAGTATGGAGCAGTTGTAGAATTACTCTTCTAGTTAGTATTGCTGATTGTTCCTGCAGAATGCTTTAAAATTATAGTTCTCGTATATTAAATTATGAATTTTATCATTACTGTGAAAAGTTGTGCTAAAAGCCTGCTGTTATTGACAACAGCTTTCACCAGAGTATTAGCCAGCCCTTAAGAAACCCTGGGTCTGGGGACACCTTAAATAATAAGGATCGAGACTGTGAAATTGATTTAAAACAGAAGAGGGCAGATCTCATATTCCTGCAAGTATTTGTACTGCTGAACAGACACACTGCATTATTTTATAGGAATCAACTGCAAACATTGCTCTTTCTATGCCCAAATAATCTAGGCATCCCTGTAGTCTACCAGGGATAACAGAAGTCACAAATAAAGTCAGATAATCACATGCACAGTGAAACAGATTTTCTTAGACAGAGAAAGATGACCAAAAAAAAAAATGTTGGATGCAAGCAATCAAATTGCTGAAGTAGAAATCAAACCATCTTACTATGGGACATACAGAAAGAAGCCACAGGAACAGTTTGCTTCTGAGAACTCCCTTCTGAATTCAGTTTCAATAGCTCTTCAGCTACAAAAAGATTTTACTGAAAGCAAGTGGGATTAGTGGGTTGATTTTATGCAATGAAAGCCAGAGAGAGCTGGTTTCCTCCTGTACTGCTGACAATTAGTCCAGATCACAAGACTAGCTGCTACTCAACAAGACACCTAGCAGTAAAAACATTCCTCATCGTGACCATCCAGATGTTAAATCTCTTGTTACCTTGGACACCTGCCACCTCTTTCAGATGGAACAATCAATGCTTCAGAGATACACAGGAGAAAAAAAAAATATTATTCAGAGTCAGCTTAAAAGACTCTCAGTAGCATAGGCAAAAGCAAATTTTGCTATCACATGAATGAGAGGCTACTTTTCATCCTGCAGGGAAGGCAGGCATAAAAAGGCACAGAATTGTGGCAGACCTAGAGGGAAAACCCTGTAAAGTCAGGTATAGTGATCCTACTGAAGCCGAACAGAGAGAAACAGCCCTTTTGCAGAAGATGAAGAGCAATTCCCCATTCCCACAGCAGCAGCCACCAGCTCATCACTTCAGCTGACCCCTCCAGCACCACGACCAGCCTAGCTTCGCAGGGCACACGCCAACGCCAACGGGACTTTGAAGCCTTTGCCATTTCACTGTCTTCCAGCAATCTTCTGGTAGGCAACAATCTACCTTCCTTCTCTGAATAGGATACTATTTTGATCAGGATTGCACCAGATAATTACAAAAGTACAAATCTCTTGGGTTCTGACAACATTCTGAGAAAATAATGTGGGGTTTTTTGTAGAGGAAGAGA